TTCTTAAATCTTAAAGTTAGGTTAGGTCGTCTAGTCTATTACAAATTTTCGCGCATGCGCAGAGAGCGGTCACATTTGCATTTTAACGTATGCTGATTACATTTCGACTTGGCACCTGTCTTTCGAAGTTTTAAAGCGAGGTTATGTATCTCAAATATATAAACACCAGCTTTTTATCCAATTTTTACAAATACTTGCATTTACCCTTAAATAATTTCTTTGCCCCGATTTACCCAGTATCCTGGTTTGCCTGCAAAAGTATGTCTAAGTTATGGAAAAAATATTTGCTGTGGTTTGCCCAGGAACATGTTGAATTCAGATATGCAGTAAGTCCATACACCAAACAGCTAGATATCAAGCGTTAAACACCACATTTGCCTTGCTTGGGTATTCTAACTTTTTTCTTTTAACAGTTGAAAACTATGGCTATTTTTAGGAAATTGAGTCGTTACTTTCCCTATTTAACATCGAGATGAAGTATGAACAGAAACCCCAAAATCAGGTAACATTCTCCATATATACCGTAGCCATTAGCTGAAACTTGTAAGTATGCAGGAGCCCTTTTGGTTGGTTGAGTTTTCATCAGAATCGGACGCCAAACTGCTAACCAGCAGGTCAGTCTCCTTACGCAAGTGCTTGGAACTTTGGGGCCACGAAAAGTCCATTGATCTCCTACATAGCACCGTAAGGGGCAAGTCTGGAAGCTTTGCCGCCTATTTTGAACCATCAAAGTCGTTTAAAATAGAAGTTGAAACCGTTGGCAGGCACTTTACTCAGCAGGAGAAGGTTGCAAAGCTAGAAGTGAGTCGTGGGCATATAAACGAAAATTGAAACTGAACTGAAAAACACTGTTTTAGGCATTTGATTACTTGCCAATACGGGGCCCAGTTAAGCTGAAAGACCCCGATGTCTGTCTGCAGTATATTGAGTTTTACGGCACCAGAACAGTCAACATCCCAACTACGCCCTATGAAGTATTTTTCGGAAGGAATGTAAGTCTGATGGTGTTTCGAGCTGCCAACCGAACATTCATGAGTCCACAGGACCTGTTTTAGGTGGCAAGTGGCCTCAGGCAGCTCTTAAAGAAGCTCTCATTGAAAACCAGGAAGTTTATTGGAAATACCAGCATGGATCCGCAGCTCTCATTGCTAATGGCAAATCAAGCTCAAGTGAATAGTGGCAGTATTATTTTGGACCCATTTGTAGGCTCCGGATCTTTGTTGGTGGCTGCTGCTGAGTTCGGTGGCTATGTTTTCGGATCTGACATCGACTATTTGATGTTACATGGGAAGACAAAACCGACCAGGATTAAACAGCAGGTGCGGCTAACATTTTAATGTTTTTTGGGTGCACAGAGCGAGACTGAATCTCTTTTTAAATTGTACGAATCATTAGTCTTTGCGATAGAGTTTTTCCTAATTATAGAAAATTGTTGAAACATGCTGCTTTATAGAAAAGAGCCAAGGACGAGAGTATCAAAGCCAACATAAAACAATACAACTTAAGCCACAAATACATTGATGTGTTAATAAACGACTTCAGCCTGTCCTTTTGGAGAGATTCCATGGAATTCGATGCCATAATAACAGACCGTACGCCGAATGAGCTGTGAATCAATCAGTTTTGACTAAATTTGTTTCCTTTGCAGCTCCTTATGGAATCAGAGAAGCCACCGAGAGAGTGGGAACGGAGAAGCAAAATTACATAGTCAGCGATGAACATTTGCCCACTCACGTACCCGCAAAAATCGAATACGGAATTCCCAGCATCTACCGAGACTTGCTGATATTCGCATCTAAACACTTGAGACTAGAAGGACGACTAGTTTGCTGGTTTCCAGTATTCAGGTAAGAATGTTCACACAACCCGCGAAAAAATCAACTATAATCGACAATTGCAGGGAAGATTATACGGAAAAATGCCTGCCCAGGCATCCCTGCTTGACTCTGATCGCCAATTCCGAACAGCCGCTCAGCAAAGTGACCTCAAGAAGACTGCTGACGTACAAAAAATTGAAACATCCCTCTGTGGACGAGCTCAACATAAAGGATACGAACATTCAGGACTTCAGGGACAAATACTTTGTGGTTCGGGAAGAGTGCAGAAGGGTGAAGCGCCAAAAGGAAGCTGCTCTTCGAAAGGAGAACTGGGAAAAATATGCGAATAGCAAACAATAAAACATGATTTTATTTGGAGTTACCGCGATTTTTTCCTGTTGGCCATTTTTCCTCCTATGGGTCGCTTGTCTTTGTTGACCGAGTTGGTTTTATCGACACCTTTGCGTCCTTTTCCCCTGCTCTTATCCTTAAAGTCTCTGCGTCTTGGGTCTTTATTCTGATTTCTGTCCAAACGCGGTTTTTTGCTCTTAACGTGATAGGAAGTCGCTGGTCGCTTGCTTCCGCTTGGTCTGGACGAGAAAAGACCTGAAAAATGCTCAACCCAGTGAAAAATTGAGGGTTTTCAACAATGAAACTCCTTACCTGCATCTGGGTCTTCACCGACTTCTGCCTTATAATATTGCCGGTCGTCATCGTCTGGGATTTTCGTTTCTTCGTTGGACTCTTTCGAATGTTTCTTCATTTGCACTTCGTTTTCAGTTTCCTTCTTCATGCCTTTTAGGGACTTTTCTTTGTGCTCCTTTTTGCGCTCTTCCTTCGCCTTCATGTTGTCCAGCTGTGTTTTTTTCAGGCGTTCTTTCAATTTCCTGAAACCAATAAACTCGATGATGAAACCTGCCACTGCTCTGGTGAGTAAATACCTTTTCATCTCCCGCTTTTTTTGGATTTCCAGTATCTCCACTTCAGACTTGTGGATCAAGTCGTGATATAGAACTTCCCCGTCCAAAAGACCGTCCTCGATTTTCATCAATTGCAGCGTTAATCTGGGGCCGAGCTCAGATAGTCTGATGGCGGAGTTCCCCGATTCAATGTTCCCTCTTGATATCATTTTTTGCGAAATCGTTACGTGATTAGTTGGGTCATCTTCAGCTTCGCTTTCGGACATAACTGCTGTTCTGGAGAAGAAAAATTCCAGATCCAGACTGCTTTAACTGCACTTTCAGAACTTACTTGGAAAAATAGTCGGCAATATCATCACATTTGGCCAAGTTCGGAACCTTTCCTTGCACAACTTTCTTCACGCCTTTGGAAATGCCCACGGGGGCGACTTTGACGTTATAATGGCGAAAATCGATTAGTTTAGTGGCGGGATTATAATTCAACATCACACACCGCCTGATCGAGTTGAGGTCCACGTTTGTTAAGTTAATTGTGGGAAACATGTTTTGGAACATGGACGCCATCATCTTCATTTGCAAGCCCTCGCCACTGAAGCTGTTCAGAATCACCAGGGGCGAATGCTTGAAGGCTTCTTCAACCACCATTTGCTTTCTCAGCGAAGACACAACGTCTCTGGCCAAAGTGAAGTTGTGTATTTTGAAGGTGAGCGTCGGCCCACGAGGTAGCCGCGTTATTTTCAAGTACATGCCCAGTTCGGTGCGAGAAAATATTGATAAATGCGACACGTGCAGCACACCGGCGACAGCGACGAAGTCCTTTATAGTGTTTTTCTTACGCTCCTGCAAGGGGGTTTAGAGTCTTAAATGAGGATAAACGGCAGGTCTTTCCATACAAACCTTCAAGGAGGAAGCTGTGAACGGCTCCATCACTTTGCGGAAGTCTTTGGTCAGCTCCAAAGTGCTTCCGCCTGGAAGCCCTTTGTGGATGACGAAGGAATGTGGCGCATTAACTACTTCATCGGGCTCAGTATACACATTCTTATTATTTCGCACACTGCGACCTTTTCGTCCCATTTTACACGGAAAAAATGCTTGATTTGCTTGTAAGTTTAATGTGGTTTACATCCGCAGATCACAGAGGTTACTGCCACAGAACATACCCCAGGGATATTTTGTGGTTACTGCATGCTGCATAGAACAAGGCTTATATAATATAGAAACGACTTTTACTCTTGTAGAAAATGTGTCGCTAAAGTGGCGCGCCCTGGTGGCTGAGAATTAAAGAATTCAAACAAACCTGCATTATGATCCCACTACACTTGCTTATTTTAAATTGTGTCGCAAGGCTGCTGATAATAGGGATAAATGACACATCTACACAAAAATACATTTAAATATATATATTACTTGTTTATTGTTTATATAAATACTTTTTACAGATAAAAAAATCTTTGGAGCATTTTTAGGAACAACTTTAAAACATACGCCTTTTGTGATAGGAAGCCGTGCATTTTCTAACAGCCTTTAAGACACCAATAAACAGCTACCATCTTCGCAGATTATTGACGATTTATGAAAACAGATAAGGAAAAAGATAATCTGAAAATATGAAAATATCATTATTAACTTTGAACAGAGGTTTCTGTTTAAATATTAATCTGTAATTCTACATAATACAGAGGTATGAAGTACCGGTTTCAGCGGTGAGCAACCCGATGTATGAACTAGCTCTAATGAGAAAAATATCCTGTTTTTCATTTATTTGTTTCTTGATGAATATGCCACCTGAATAATAAGCTAAGTGATTTCGACTTACCCAACAAAATATTCACAAATTACGTATTGGAGAACATGGTGAAACATATCACAATCCAGTATGTGCAGGAAGCATGAACATAAGCATGAGGACGAAATCATACAACCATAGAACAAGGCTTAAACATCAGGGTTACTGTACTCTGTAATCTGTGTTTACATCTATACAATCCGTGATCCAGGGCCGCTTACTCTCAACATTCTTGAGTTTCGTGTTACGCGTACCCGCACCTCCAGGAGCGCTGGCATCGACAATCTTGGAGATTTGGCGACAGCGCGTATCGATGTCAAGTGCACAGATAACTTCTGTGATCTGTGGTCAAGTGAGGCTCACCGCGCTCACCGTCGGTTTAACGGTCCAACGCTTCCTGTTCCCTGTTGCTAAGGCCATAGATAAAGAACAAGTTCGTAGCCAATGTCGGCGGTCGAATTGAATAAATACTTTGTAACTCCGTTTTTCGGAGGGGAGTATTGTGGTGACAACAACCTCGCGTAAGATTGTAGCGTGAGTTGACAACACCGCAACATGCCCTCCGAGGGATAAAAGGAGCTGCCTTTTGGCACCCGCCATCTTATGTAGTTTCATCTTACGAGCACACCACGTGTACGTTACATTTCGCAAAATATACGATTTGTTAGTGTTTGCTGCTGGGTTTTCATTTGAATCTATGACTGGTTTACTGCTTTTTCTGCAAATTACCAAATTTTTTTGTATGTGATGTGAGTTGTCGGCGCTATTTAGTGCCTTGCTGTTGAGTAGTTTTTGTGATCTCGGTTATTTCACGTAGTAAGTCATTGAGATTAATTTAATCTAGGTGTAAAGGAACACACTTGTAGTTGTCTCATCTACGTTTATTCTTACTCTGATCCTTTTTGGATCCGCGGTGCACCACATTACATTATGCTTGCTTGCATTAATGGTACTTAATGGGGTTAACATGTCAGCAAATATTAATTAACTGTTAACCAATATGTTCAATGCTCATAATATTCGTACATTGATCTCAGCCTAAATTAATAATGTATGCACTTTTGTGTATATTTCGTAACACGTTAGAGTTACACTACATAGGGCCAATAATGTTAACACATAAATCCTCAGTTATTTTAATGCTGGATTGGGATGAGATGACTAAAGCTACATTCTTCAAAGGCTGATCCTTAATCTATGGGAATTGAACCGCCCGGTAGCTACTACCTAATTAAAATGGTGCGGAGAAAAGAATTATTTCGAACTACCTTAGTTGCCCTAGTTTGCTTACTTCTAATAGGTTTGTCCATATTCCATCTTTACTTGCATCAATCTAGCACAGTGTATTTATTGTAGCTTTGTATCAGAAGAATCCGAGTCCGCTGATTCGTTCGCGTCCCGCAACCTTTCAAGCAATACAAATTGAGGACGATCAACCGCTTGAAGAGCACTCACTTAAAGAAGTTATTATCAATGCACAAAGAAGTCGACTGAGAAAAGAACTATACGACTTTAAATTTCCATCCAACCGACCACTAGCTAATTTTGCAATGGAAGATGGAGGGCAACCGATCAGAACGATCATTTTCAGTACATGGAGGTCAGGGTCTACATTTCTGGGTGTGCACTGTCTTCAAAAGAAACGGAAATCAAATTGTATGTCTGGATTGTTTCAGGTGATGTTCTTAATGCTCTGCCAGGGAATTACTACCATTATGAACCACTGATGGATTATGGAATCATACAAATTCGAGGCCCACCAGACGCGGATTCAGCTCTAACTAGATTGAAAAGTTTGCTCAATTGTGATTACACAAATTTGTACAAGTAAGTCACAAAATACTCCTTAAGTCTGCATTTTCTTATGGCCGATTGCACCGTCGTAGAGGTGTGATAAACAGTTATTTTTTTGTAACGGGTTACAACGTTCCAGTTTTACCTTGGCAATAGGTTTCAAAATGCGGTTTCAAAAGGAACATGTTACTTTTTAAATTTTGCATTCAAAATGCAGATTGATGATGATAGTAGAAATCAATGGTTACTGAAACTGGATAGAGCGCTCGACGATGCCGCATCGGTTCTGTGCTGACCATTTTTTCAGGTTTATGAGACGGCTCCCAAAACAACCTTTAAATCGGCAAACGGCATCAGCTGGTGCGAAGTGCGCACAACTGTTTTTCTTTTATGAGACAGTTCCAAAAAGAACGGTTTAAGCCAGCAAACGGCTGCAGCTAAATAGATTGCTCGACGTTGTCGCATCGGGTCTGTGCAGGCGCGCGCCGCTGTTACGGTTTTATGAGACGGTTCCAAAAACAACGGTTTAAATCGGCAAACGGCTGCAGATGGATAGATCGCTCGACGGTGTCCGAAGTGCGCACCGCTATTTCGGTTTTATGAGACAGTTTAAAAACAGTTAAATCGGCTAGCTGTAACTACGGTTTCAGGTTATACGTTTGGAACACTGTTATTTTAGTGGTTACGTTAAATACCGACCATCCCTACACCGTCGTATTTTCACTGAAGCTTAGCGCTAATCCTGGTTTATCAAAGGCAGTTAAACTTGGTTTGCCAGCACAAGTGGAGTAAATTTAATTCACCAATTTTGGAGGTTTAAAAGGCGAATAAATCTGTAGTTTCCAACCAAAATTTTTGCGTATTTTGTTTCGTTTGCAGCGAATCGCCGCTCTTTTTCATAAATAGGTAGTATTTGTAATTATAAGCTGACGTGCCGCGTAGTAAATTTATTTTTTCGTAATTCTTTCTTTCCGCAATAAACATCCCTCGCATTCACCCTTAAACTAATGGTGCGCGGCGGCTGTTAGTGCGTCCGGGTTCGAGGGTGGTGCGAGGGTGCGGTAGGGAAAAAGGGATTCTTCGGTCAGTCCTGGGCCAGTCCCGAAGGAAACGCGTACGGAGGCAGTCCGGGAGTACTAAAAAAAGAAGACCACCGACGCCACGCCACGCGGCCATTTAATTTTTGTGACCGAGGGCTGGATTTCGAGGAAATCCAGTTTTTTCCGGAGCATCCCTGTTCCTTGATCCCCAGGGAAACCTGTGAACCTACCGCGGAACAATTGTGCGCGTCCCGCGAGACAAGACTATTTGCCCGCCGCGGTACGTCATACAATTACCCGAGCCATAGACTCCCCTAATTTTACTTTATTTTATTTTTTTAATTTTAGTTGGTTTTTGTTCTGTTTGTTTGTAATTGTCTTTTTTGTTTTCTTGGTAGTTAGAGGTTGGTCTTGGAGTTGGTTTTGGTAGTTAGGGGGGTACTACCCACAAGAAGTACCTGGCATCCCGTCACGGGGCAAACCCCCACGTTTTCCAGTAAATTTTGTGCGTTGTGTTGGACGGACAGGGTCGCGAGTCCCATTGCGGCAGGGAGACTCCGGAAATGCCCTCCGCTCGCAACTCGAGCGATTGTCACAATCGACAGCAAGGACCACCCGTCATCGAATTCAACTTACTACCGATAATTTAATTTTTCGTTTCAGAAACGTATATTAAAATCCCGCAAAGTTTTAGTTACCTGCACTATATGTTTCAGAAATGTTTATGTAACTGCAAATGTTCGCCCTCAGAAACGTTTCACTGAAACGTCTCGCTGAAACATTGCAGAAACGTTTCGTTAAAATGTTACTGAAGCGTTCCGCCAGACGTTATTTAAACGTTGAAAATAAATATTCAGTAACATTATACATGGTAATCTTTGAAGATTGCAAATATTTTAATTGGTGGTACATTTTGGCCCTAGAAGCAGAACTTTTCAGTCCACTTTATTCATAACTTAATTGTTACAAGGTACTATATTCCACATAAAGTCTAGTCCAGTCTTAAAGTATAAATAAAATACTAGCTATTTACACGCCTTAAAATTAATTAATAATGTTTAAACAGTCGAGAGTGCGCATAGCAACTGGTTCAACAGTTCTGTACGATCTCACAGAAAGGACCTACGCCTCTCGGCAGCCCACCCAGCCGAAGTCTTAGGGTCGTTTTTGCACCACTCCCAGCCAAACCACCATTCCCCGTAATCGGGGATTGGAGATCGATGAGATTCTGACAGCTGTAGAACCTGTATAACCTTAACACATATCTTAACCTATATGCCCATATCACCTACTTCCTAACATTAGAACGTGCCTCGCGGTGCTGTCGAAAAGCGGCCTAGGCAGCCACAGGGGAGAGGCAGGGCTACGACCGAACCGCCTCTCCATCCGGCGCCAGGCACTCAACCACACACAGAATCGCAGATTTTCCCCGTCCATCTAGTCAAAGTCATCGTCGCTGACGATGATTTCAGCATACTCTACAAACATACTAACCATACTCCCATCTCTCCTCCCATCCATGCCTCTCAAGTGCCAGCAGGAATTCCCCGGAGCTAAACTCTCACGTGCAGCCTCCCTGACTGATTTCACACACACCGCCCTGGCGTGTCGAGCCGTCTGAGCACCCAGACCACATTCACACTCACCACAGCCCCTTATTGTAAACCTGTGTAAGTAAGCACGGAAGTCTCCGTGTCCAGCTGCAAGCTGCAGTGCCTTTTTATTCAAACCCAGCGTACCCTTTCCCACTCTGTCACACACCTCATATAATTCTCTCCCATTCTTACTACTGGACCAGAGCCTCTGCCACTCGTCCATGACCCAGGACCGCATCCGACTTCTGACCTGCCCTTTGGTTATTTGTGCCAGCATCTCCACCACGGGTGTCCCTCAGAGCGCACAGCTGGCTACCTCATTCGCGGCGACTGCACCAACGGAGCCCTCGTGAGCTTCCCACTGCACTGTGACCCCCATACCACCCCCCCTTATCGCATGCAACCCCCTCTGTACCCCAACAGCTTCCGCAGACCGTGATTCATAATCATTAATTGCAAGCAGGGCATCCCTAGAGTCCGTCCACACTACCGCACAATCACCCCTTATGCAAAGAGACCTCAAATTCATCAGGGTCTTTCCAATTGCTGCGATCTTCATGTCATTTACGCTCTTACCACCCCATTCATCACTAACCCTCTCACACTAGCTCCTGCCCACACACCACACATCAATAGTCCCTTTCTCACCCGCAACTACCGCATCACACCACGCATTCCAAATGGTATTCTCCCCCTGAATCGTCTCTCCTGCAGCAATTATGCCTGCCCAAGCACTCCAGCCACACCGGGGGACGCGTACACGACCTGCAGGACCTCCGTAAAGGTCGTCCTATACGCCCTTCCCATTCCAAGAAGTAGAAACCTGTCGCATGCCTCCCGCTGCTTCTTAAATCGGGAGTCGGACGCCTTGCTCCCCCATATTTCAGACGCATACAAGATTGCACTTTTCACCACTCTCTCATCCACACCGTATTATTGGCCGCCAGTCCTCTCCTCCTCATAATCCATCAAATCTGCCTCTCACACACTTGGCATGTTCCAGGAAGAGCAACTTGGGTTCAAGCACCACGCCAGGATACTTCACCATCGTGGATGGTACTACCCTAAGCTCCTCAGTGTTAAGCACAGGAGGCCGGATGTTGCCTTTAGCAGGCAGGAACAGCGTCTCGATCTGTCCAGCGCTATACTCCACGGCCGCACCGCCAGCCCATATTTTCAGTTCCTCCCAGACCAACCGAAACATCATTTCAATCTTCCTTGCTGACTCGGCCTTAAGCAGCACCACCTAATCATCCGCATAAGCCTGGGTCGTCAGCATCCTCACCCCTGCATTTATACCTGTCACGTCTCTTCCATCCCTCTCCACACACATTCTCTCTATCCTATCGACCGCGACTGGAACCATCCCTCCATGACCATGAGCCGTAGAGTGGGGCCTAGACTCGATCCCTGCGGACAGCCTTTCCCAATCTTACACCTCACCCTTCCACTCTGTACCACTCTACCCCGCAAAAAGCTCCAGCACATTCTCACCAAACCACTGTCAACCCCGGCCCTTTCAAGCTCCTGGACCACAACCGGGGCCCACGCCATGTTGAAGGTTGATTATATCCAGCAACATCAACAACTGGTGTTTGCCCGCTTTTCTACTAAGCTTATGGACCTAACCCCGCCGGAGCCCTTCGGTAGCCATACAATCCTGGCGCACTTCCAGACAAGTGGAAAGTATGGCATTCTCAGACACTCCCCATACATGTTTTTCACACTCTTCTCTCCCACCCGACAACCTTCCAAAAACTCACCGACATACCATCCGCCCCTGCAGCCTTGTTATTCATCATCCGCCCCACCGCATCACTACCCTCCTCGTCTCCCAATTTATCACACCAATCCATCCTCCGCTCCCAATATTTCATCCAAACCTTCCAGCTCATTCCTTTCACTCACACTCAGCTCTGTATGGTACTTCCACACCAAGAAGGACCAGACAGACACCAGCTGCCCATTATCATCGACTATAAGAGTTTGCTTTGCGGGTCCCTTCTCTTTCATGACCCTCCACACTTTGTCTCACGGGCTAACCTCGCACACACTCTCAATCTCTCTTTTAACCCACTTCATTTTTCCTTGATCAGTTTCTTGAAGATGCGCCTCTCCGCCCTGTACGCATTGAGTCGCTCGAGATGTATGACCTCCGAAAGAGAACTCCTCGCTCTCTGCCATCCTTCTCGAGCTCTTCTGACCCGCCTTAATCGCATCTGCAGCTCCCTGTCCCATCATTCATTCGTGATATCCTCCAGTACTCTGGCCCTCCTGATAGGTTCAAGCAGGGCGTTGCTGCCCAACCCCGTTCCAAAAGACCGATCTTGTCCGTGTTCCGGAAGTCCACACGTCTCGGAGCTTGAATCCACTATGAAAGCTTTCTTGCCCTTTGTTCCCAGGGTTACGGACAGAATTGGGAGACTCCTGAGGAAACAACATAAGAACAGTCTACAAGCTCACAACAAATATCCGAGAATGTCTAGGGTCAGTTAAATACAGAAGACCCGCAACTGCAGGAATCTACCGGTTGCGACGAGAATAGAAGAACACCGACGGAATTGTAAACTGGGACATGTGGAAAAGTCGGCAATGGCGGAACACGCCCTCAGCGATGGAACACACAACATCTATTTCGGAGAGGACAATTTCATCAGAAAAGAAGAGACAATGGCGTTAAATAGGATATAGTTTCCAGCACTCACCAACGCAAAAACAGCAAGAAAAACCAACAGCGCAGGACAGGAGAGAGAATCCAGTACATCGGATGATAGCAACAGCCAACATAATGCGCAGGCTCCGATGAAACAGGCCACGTGATCACAACCGGTGCATAAATACGGACTGCGCCCGAGGAATCGCATCAGAACAGTCTAAGCCTTCAAGCAAACCACTTCTGAAGATGCAAGCCACTCGTGCTTGCGAAACGTCAAGAAGAAATTCTACCGAACGACGGCCTAAAAACCCGAAAAA